ATAATTGTTCCTTGATGAACCAAAAATGAAGATATCCTTTTATATAAATGATTTCAATAAAGAAATTAGAGTGATAGTGTTATTCCTTTTTGTAAATAATAAAGAGTTATTTATGATGAAAATAATTTTTATGTTCTTGTTTTTATTAATGTAGAAGTATGTTCTTAATTTAGATTTGCAGAATTGCAATTATGTATTTATTATATTTTATGAATATTGATACATATCTAAACAGATATCTTTTATATATATATATATATATATATATATAAATTTGAAAATAATTGTATCGTGATATGTCTTATCATGTATGCTTCATGGAGTTGAATCATATATGGAGTACACTCTTGTCTGGTTCCATATGTCCGAGATGAACGCCTTGAGGAAGAAGGTTGTATCTGATATTGAGCTCTTCAAATATTTTCTTTATTTCCATCATCAATTCAGTTCTTCGCTTGCCTTTTTCCCCAAACTCTTGAAAGTTCATTGTGTGAGTAACATAGACGCCCATCTTAATCTTGTTTACATCTTCAATCTCCTTCACTAATAAGTCGCGATTAGGATGCCAGTATTGTGGATTTTTCTCCGGGTACCTAATTTTATAAAACACATTAGAAAAAAGAAAAGCATGGAGACATACTACGAGGACACAACAGAAATAAGAGCTATTCCAATTTCATGACAAAACTCCACTCTTGCTTAAATTTCCTGCAAATAACGCATAGGAAAATTGGTGCACACCCCATCTCGCTGTTTGAGATCAAGTCTCGAATAAAACTTATATGCAATGTCTTAATTCACAATAAAATGCAACATGCTCCTTATATGGTAGTCTGGTTATACTTCCTCAATTTATCATAAAAAGGAAATCATAGCAACTAGAGAAAAACTTTGAAGGCATATATTGAAATGTTCATTTATCCTTTATTAGTTCATATGTGATTACATCCATGGATGGACAAATAATTCTTGGAAGCCAAAAACATAAAACGAAAATGCATTTAATGAAGGTGAGTTCAAGGTTCCATAGAAAAAAGGACTCTAAAGAATCTACTTATTTACTGGTGAAGATATAATTAGCTTACCTCTTTAATTTTACTTTCAGTGCCCCAATATTCTCAGCTGGTGTCATAAAATCAATGGAGAACTCTACCCCGTCACCCATATCTGAGCTTCTGTAATAATTGCTAATTGGTTTAGTGGCCAGAACAGAGTTTGGATAGTAAACCTTTTCATTATTAAGCTTCAACAAGACTGTTGTTAATATATTCATTTCCTCAACCAATAGCTGCCAGATGATCATAACTCATAAGGCATTAATATGCAATTCTCAAACAAGGAAAACACAATTTGGCATCTATAGATTACCTCAACACCATCAATAACACATCGATCACCAACAGCAAATGGATGCATTACAAACACGAACGATTGCTTCAAATATGTTCTTGCATGTGTTTCCAAACATGAAAGCTACAAGTACTAGTTGAGAAGAGAGGAATACAAGTACTTTTGTTGGTGCAATCTCCATCAGCAGAAGCTAGCCACACAATTGTGGTCCTACTAGGATTCCAGTCACGAGCTTGTTTAGTTGTTTTACAGCTGTTTTGGGGTCACTTAAGGCGTGTGCCAATGCTTTGCGTTCTTGGAATATCTTCAACTGAAGAGCACAAACATTATGGAGCAAAATCTTTGCTTGCCAAACAAACAGTATTTCAGTCTTAATTATCATGACACATTTTTAGATGAGCATATAAATATTGAAGACCATACCCACCAGTCTGTAAGGACTTTCTGGTAATCTGCCCCGTTTCTGCTTCAGCCAGTAGGGGATAATACCATTCGCACGTCTTCCTTAATCATGAACCTCCCAAGTTCATCTTCATCAATGTACCTATTCATAATGACAGAAGTTTTTAGGAGAAACAAGAGTAGCAGATATCGCAAAAAAAAAAAAAAAAAAGGAGGACAAATAATACATTTACAAGCAACAAGAAGTAATAATACTTATTATAATAGTGCATATATTCATACGTGCAACCTGGGGCAACGATATTCCTGAAAATGTAATGGGCAGCAGCAGTTGCTTCCATCTCATTAGTAATCTGTTTATCAGTTTGTTCATTTTCTGCGTCATGGAAACTTTCATTCAGTGCAGTAGAGATTGTGGACAACCCTGAATTTGTCATTGCGTCTACCAAAACCTTCATAGTCCACGAAGAAACTTTTTCTTGTTTCATCTGGTGAAGCTTTGCAATATCAATAGTCTCTTTGTGCCGTCTCTACCATCTGTACTCCTTAAACTAAAATGACTAACACTTGGCAATGCCCTGACCTCTCAGCCTCTTCTACAAGTGGAGGCCCAGAGAGAGTCTGCAGGATGTACTGATGGAAGAGGGATTCTTGGATTCGATCAAAGAAAGATTTAACTTGGAAATTTGACGCCAAAATCTTTAGTAACAATGTCTTGATCAACCACAGGAATGCTCCAATGAGGAGGGATACAAGAGTCCATGTTACCCCATTCAAAATTTTTGTGGCCAATTCAGATCGATCAACCCCATGTTTAATCAACAGCACCCACATGAGAAGAACCAAACGAAGCCAAATGAAGACCTGGACACACTCCTTCAGTCCATGGACAAAATACAGCACCTTTTTCCTTAACAAAAAGTTGGTCTCAATCAAGAAAACAACAATGTGCATGAACCATCTGGTAACCAACATGCCACAAAAGTTCACAACTCAATCAAAACCACACGCCACCTCCAAAAATTCAAACCCAAATCTCCATCCTTAGAAGTTTTCCAACAGTAAAACTTGCCACAAGGCTACTTGCAATGCACACAAACACAAACCATTCAATTAAAACCTTAGTTGTCACTCTCCTACTACGCTTATTTTTACCCAATTTAACTTTCTTGTAAATGATTTCATCAAAATCGTCCCCGGCCGGCCTGGGAGACGCCATCAACGGGATGGTGTCTGATCTATTAACAGTCCCAGGTTTGTTATCAGGTGATACTTTATCAACGTTGTAAGGTTGTTCACAAAACCTTGACTTGGGTTTGAAATACACCGGCCTTGTTTGTGATTTTCTCCGGGTAAGGCTGGCATTGGAATACACACAAGCCATGATTCTACGGATGTAACAATAAATAAATATCACCTAAAAATATCATGGTTTCACCTAAAAATAAAGAAATTAATAAAATTGAAATATTAAGGGTCGATTTGATTTTTTGTTTTGTATTTCATTTCTTTCTTAGTTTCCCCTTTTTTATGAGAGAAAGATAAATAAAATAATCATTAATATCACTTTCAAATGAAAACATGGTAATGTTCAATATAGTTTAGGTGTAATAATTAGACATTTTCATTTTCTTTCATTAAATATAAATATTTTGAAAAAGAAAAAAAAAACTTTGTTTGAATTAAATAGCAGTAAAAACAAATCACATTGTTTGAAGAATTGAACTAAATAACAGTAAAACTTATTTTAATATTTTTATAGAACAAACAGATTGTTTAACTTTCACCAAACAAATTATGACAAAAAGTAACGGGAGCAACAAAAAGCACTAAACATTGGCAGCGTAGCCTTGGTGCTGGAGAGGACAATAAGAGGAATATAGAGATACAAATTTTAAAATCTTACCAACAAAATATCTATAGCTAATCCAAGGTCAAGGTGGCTACCATGGACAATGGAGATGTCTCCCACCCACGGAAGGAGATTATTGGTGACCTTTACGCTTCATTGGAATAGGAAATCAAATTGAGCATATATTAATTGAAGTGATTTTTCGATGAAATTTTTAATTTTGTATTGCTTAAATTGATGGAATTAGGAAAGAATAATATACAGTTATTGATTTTTATTTGTTGAGTTACATTAAAATATTAAGTACACCAGGGTCCGTTTAGTAATAAAAATTAAGATAATATGTATATGATTTTAAGTTTAAATTTTGTTGTCATTATAATTTATAGAATAAAAAAATGTTACATTAAATAGTAGAGGAAAAGGAATGAGAAATATTATGAAAAGACTATTTTATAAGTAAATTTAATTTTGTATCAAATGAAATTTTAAATTTCAATTTAATAATATGATAAGATACGCAATATAATTATTAAATATGTAACTAAGTTTTGATTAAAATATCTTAAAGCAACTATTTAAACATTAATTATTTTAATGTGTTCCCACATTCTGTTCAGCTCTGTAAAACACAGATACACGTATATCAAGTTAAAACGAGACAATAACATGTACAATTGTTCAAAAAGTTGATTTCCATTCACAATAATGCAATAATGATGGAGCAAAGAAATTAAATAGTTTTGATCAAATTATGTCATCACTTTTTTTTTCTTAATTTTATATCAAATGGAAATGAATCATGAATCGTGTCACAAATGCTTAATTATAGATTAATAAACACATAAATAAATGTTGGATATAAAAAAAGTGCTACATCATTAAAATAAAAAGAAAAATAAGAGTTTATAAAATACATATATATCTTTTACGTGATAATCAAATGTAAAATTGTAAAATTATATATTCAAAACAGACAATATCTCATTATTATAGAATTGTATGAAAAGTAAATCAATAAAATATAACAAATTTATAACAATAAATATAAACATCTCTTCATATTAAATATCATAAATAATCTTAACATCGGTATCAAAGTAAAAAAAAAACAAAACATAATCATTTTTTCTTAATATAAATATCTCTTAAGACAAAATGTTATAAAATAATCCTAACAATAAATTGGTAAAAAATTATTTCAGATTAATAAGTAATATCATATTTGAATTCTGAGTATACAACTATATTAAATATTTAGATATAGAGAAATTTATCATTTATGATAGTCTTAATCGTGTTAAACAAAATTGTCTCAAATATAAAATACTTATAATCTATTAAAAAAAAACTCTAATATAGTCATTTTTCACTAGAAATAAATTGATTTGATCGACTAATCTAAATTTTTAAGAACCCTCTTGACATATGATTTGAGACTATGGTTAATTGTTACGAAAGATGGTCGAGTGGATGGATTTGCATCCCAACAAAGGCATATTAGGTCAATCAGCTCTCCCACTTCGTCACCATCCTCCTTTGATGGAAGCACAGGCCTTAGCTTCCCCTCCACAACTTCCATAGCAATCTAAGAACATTTTCAGAATATACATTACAACAAAATAACATGTTACTTTCCTAAGTAGGCTCTATTTAGAAAGAGGAAAAAAATGTTTTGTAAATAATTAACAGAGAAGAAAATTTGAAGGGAAAGTCAATTGAATTTCTTTAATTAAAATTAACTTATTATAAATCTTAATTTTTAGAAAAGTTAAATGAAAAGATTTTTATAAAATTTAAGTATATAAAATACGTGTTAAGGTTTGCATCAGTACTCACAAAACCCACGTCAAATAGACAAATACCCACCACGTTCAAACCAAAGCTACTCCAGTTGCTTTCAAATTTCGCATCTCCTATACGTGTTCTTTCTATTAGATGTGAAACCATAAAAACATAAATTAATTTTAATTTATGCCTGTTCTCTCTATTAGACGTGGAATCAAAAAACAACTTAAGTGTGTTTGGAAATTAGTTGAGTTCAATTCAATTAAGATTAAAAATAAAGTTACACTTACAAGTTTTTACTTTTAATTTTCTATATTAAAACGTGTGTTTTTTCGTTGAATATAGTTTTAAACTGATAACTAAACATATTCTTAATAATTTAATTAATGCGTGAAATTCAATTTATTCCAAATTTATTTCATCTTATCCTTTTATAAGTATTTATTGAAAATTTTATTTAAACAGAACCTTACAATCGAATTTGTGCATCTCCAAAATTTTAGGATAAATTAAATTTCTGGTCCCTAAATTTTTTTAAAAAATTGATTTTGATCTCTATAAAAAAAATTTTATCATATTTTAATTCTCTAATTTAGAATTACATCACTTTTGGTCTTGAAATAGCTTGAATAACACTTTATAACCACTTTTAAACACTATTTTTAAGGACAAAAAAAATAATGCATTTTCAAATTAGAAGACCATAATATAATAAATAAATAAATAAAATTAGGAGGACTACAACTAAATTTCAAAATTTTTAGAAAGATTAAAAACATATTTTACTCAAGTTTTTAGTTCTCCGATTAATTGTCTTCTTTTATGAGAAAATCGTGATCTTATTTACTTGTGATTTTTTTCGGTGAGATTATTTATTTTCCATCGTAAAAGTTCATGATAGCATTCATTGTTTTTTCAATAATGTTTATTTCTACTTAATTGTTAAACATTTTACATATTTATCATAAATAATAAAATTTTACATTATAAAGCTTAAATAGTTTTAATATAAACAAAGTATTAATTACATTCCTTATTCTACATACTATTATTCAAAATTGAACAAATACGGGGGAAAAAAAAAAAAAAAAAGGTTATGCTTGTTTAGTTTGATTTATTTTGAAAGAAAAAAAATCGTTAGCTTACCGATTATTTTCCAAAAAGAAGTGATTATCTAAATTTAAAGTGTACTAAATATAGTGGCAGTATAGAAAAGAAGTAATTGGAAATGAATTTGATGAAGTTACCTTGGCAGGACCAAATTGTGTCTCAATATAAGGGTATTTCCCAGTAAGTAGCTCGTTGAGTATGATTCCAAAACTGTATACATCACATTTTTCATTATAGGGCTCACATCGTATTACCTCCGGTGCCATATACACGTATGTTCCTGAAAAAGATGATAAAAAGAACATATTAGAACGTACCTTAACTTCATTCATAGCAAGTGCAGTAATATATATATACCTGTTTCTCCGGTGAGAGCCATTTCGCCATCACCCAAGAAGCGCGCATGTCCAAAATCGGCGACCCTAACATGCAAGGCATCGTCCAAGAAGATGTTACTGGGCTTCAAGTCGCGATGGATGACTTTGGGGTTTTGCTCGTGGAGATACTGCATGGCTTGGGCTATTTCCAAGGCCCGCATGAGTCTGTCCTTGAAGGGAGGAAGTGGCACGCTTCTGTCTCTGGGCCTTTTGCCCGGCCCATGTAGCCACTCCTTGAGCGTGGACTTCAGATACTCGGTAACCACCCATGCATGACGCGGAGGCTCCAGGCACGCGCCCATCAGTTGTAGCACAAACCGGTGCCGCTGTTTCGACAGGGTTTCAAGCTCCTGAGCAAAGAATACGACGCCGTTTGCGTTTTTGTGGAAGAATGACTCCGACATGCACTTCACCGCCACGTCATATCCGCGCCATGTCCCTCTATGAATTTCTGCCGTCGTTCCCTTCCCTACTTTTTCTCCCAACTCAATCTGCAAAATAATTTTAATTTTACAATGTTGGAGAGTGAAAAATATATATATTTATAGATGGAAATTAAGTAGTTAATTACCTCACTTGGGTCAATATACCATCCATTGATTTTGGCTTGTTCAGTGATGGTGGTTAGATTGGGGTGGTGGTGCGAAGGAGTGAAAGTATTGGAGTTGATGGTATGTAGAGAGAGGGGAGATTGTGGAAGTTCACCTTTGGAATGGACAATGAGGTCCAAGATTCCATTCTCCTGTGCTACTTGGAGACAGTATTTTAAGTAATCTTGGGTCCTTTCCATTCTTTTCCTATACATCACTCTCAGTTCTGTCTGTCTTTGAACCTCTTTTTCTAAACCTGCCACCTAAGTCAGCTCACACACATCACACTGGAAGCAAATATATCTAAATATTTCTTGATAAATTAGTAATGGTGTACGTGCATGAATTACCTTTACTTCTAATCTTTCATAACGCTGCTGGTGTTGCAAAGTTGGTGCGGTGGATGAGACAGTCCTAACGCTGTTAAGGCCCCGACAGCATCCACTGGGGAGAGGGCTAGCAACTGACTCTTTCTTGACTCCCATGTTTGACTTGGATGACTGACGAGAAAGGTTCTGCTGAGTACGAGGACTGCTCCTGTCCATCGATCCCTTTAATTTCTATGTTTCTCGAATGTTGTGTTCAATTTCTTAATTATGAGTAATGGAGTATGAGGGGAACCTAAATTTGGCCTTAAAGAGCTCCTTGGTCAACAATTCATATAATGAAGCTTTTCGTTGTTAACTGCTGGCGATTTGCACACGACAATCTCGACGGACTTTGTCATGAACCTTGCCTTCGGTTGCTTTCGTACAAGGATAAAGCTATGCAGTATCAGAAAATTACGACAAATGCATGCCACCACCCACAATACTTGGAACACACTATTTGATTTAGGTTTAATGGGTTTCTGAACTTTAAAAAAAAAAATAATTACATTCCTAAACTAAAAAAATAAAAGTCCATCGATTTCTAGAATTAACTTACCACGGCTATAAAATAACAAGTTCTAGTAATTTTACTAATAATTTAGAAATCCAATCATAAAAATTGTATAAAATCAAATATAAGATTACAATTATTTTTAATTTAGAAATTTAATTCAAATTTCTCAAAAAGTTGAGTGCTAATCATATATTAAAACTTTTAATTTATTATTAGATAAATTTTATTTGAGTTTTAAGAGAGAGAATGGGTCCAGGATTTTTAACAATTCTCGCATAATATGCATGGTTGGTAAAAATTAATAAATTTATTTTTCCATACATATACATTCCAACCAATCATTATTTACATTTTTTTAGTTTTTTTGTTTTTACAAATTTTGAATTTTTCATCACATATCTTCTATTACTTTCCTCCACGCTTTAGATTTCCCCAAATCTATCACTTAGAATTTGATAACGGAAAAGTTGATAAAAATAAATTAACTATAATGATAGATTAATTTCTGGCTGGCCAAATTGTTTGGTCTGCTTTTTTTTTTTTTTTAAGTATAATAATGATTTTTTTGGTTTGTCTCTATTTTTTGTTTGATATATATATATATATATATATATATATATATATATATATTTTAAATTTATTATGAACATGGAAATGGTACCTATATATCTTCGCAAAACGGCTAGGGGCGGTGAGAAACAATTGGGCGGAGGTTACTAAAAAATCAATAAGATAGATATTATAATAACACCTAAAGTTGATTAAATCATTGTCATAGTCAATTTTTGTAGACGATTAATTTTGTATTTTCGAAAACAAACATTTTGAAAGCGGCAACAACAAATATCTTCCTCGGATGTAGGAGTTAGATTTCTTGAGGGTGGTTGCTGTTAAGGTTTCAGAAAATTTATTCTACATATAAAAAAACGTGATGCAAGTAATGATAGCATTACCTAAATTAATGTTGAATCTTCATTTTCCTTATTATTTGTCGCTATTAGAAAAGTTTAGCACACAATTTCGGGTATGCATACATGGACAAGCGTGTTACTATACACAATAAAAGGTAGAATATTAATATAAAAAAATATTAGCAATATACTATCTAATCTAATATAACCCTGTGTTTTAGATTCTAGGTATAAATTTCACATTATAAACGTGTGTTTTTCTTTCTTTAATATTCAAGACCGAAGAAATTACTAATTAGAATGTGAATAAAGTACAAACTTCGTTGTATCAATTATACAATATGGAAGAGTATGTTGCTTTGGGTGTTGAAGATGAAGTGAATTAGAGTTCAAAGGTAGTTGAATTGTGTTCTTCAATATCTTAACTTTAACACGTAAAAGTTAAATGTTTCATATTGGTTTTTCAAGATTTTTCCTAAGTTATTAGTAAAAGATTGTTAAGAGTAAAGGAAATATCTTCTACTCACTTGGACAGTCATAAGAAGATAAATATACAGTATATAAATGTTTACAAATTAATCTTCTTCTCCCCCTCTCTTTTTTTACGACATTTTTGTAAAATGGGAACTTATTGTGTGTCTCCTTTTATCACTTATCACATCAATGCACGTTCAACGTAAATGACCTCTTACATAATTATATTATTAAATAAAATCAAATGATAATATAAATACGTCATTAATTATTAGTTGTTCCTCAATACTAACTTACCCAATTAACTTGGTCCAGTTATTTTATAGTGTGTTTGGATAGAAAATTTAAATGGAATAATTTATTTGTTTAAAAAATTTTAAATTATTTGAAGTGAAATATTTTGTTTGGATGAAAAATTTAGAAAAAAATTGAAATTTAAGTATTTATGAAAATTCTTGAAATAGGAATTTCAAATTCTCCCAAAAAGTAAGAATTTAAAATTTCTCATATTTTTTTTCTTATTTCACTTATATATTTTATCTTATCTTTTCATGTTTTTAATTATTAAATATTCAAAAATATTGTTAAAATTATTAAATATTTAAAATTTAGCTAATATTTATTTTTATAAAATTTAATTTAAAAACCTCAACATATAAATATATTTTTAAAATCAATTTTATCATGGTAGAATCAAATTATCATATTTAAACTAATAATTTAAAATTTAATAAATTTGAATTGACTTATCCGAACAAAATTTTTTAAGAATAATAAAATTTGAAATCAAAATAATTCAAATACAAAAAATTTTAAATTACTTGAATTTATAAAATTCTTCATCCAAACACACTAAAAAAAAAATTATTTCAAGAATGAAAACTTTGAAACTTTGACTCATTCGCTCTTTCAACACTTAAGAGTGGATACATAACATGACATGGATTAAAGATTAGTGGATGGTTTATTTATCTCATACACTAATCTTAATTTAAAAGAAAACATATTTTGTTATTTATCTTTACAATTAAACATTAAAAAATATTAAAGTCGTCTAAACACTAATCGTTGTAAAGGCTAACTAATTACTTATTATGATAATTTATAAGTAATTTTATATCTAAAAATTAAATGTAAAGGTATTATATAATTGATTAAAAATCTCAATCTTAAAATTTACTTTTAAGTATAATTATACAACATTGGGTCGGCCCTGTTGCCATTACTTAACTGTAGCTACCAATTTAGAAAGACCCATAAGTGTTGTTCTTTTTTTTTTTTTTTTTTGAGGCTTGGTTCTATTTATATTATTTTTCATTAATCTTCCAATTCACATCGTGGATAATATACAGAATAGTTAGCCGCATAGTGGTGGGGCTTAGGCCCTTCCCTTTCAAGAAAAAAAAAAAAAGCATGGCCGCATTATTTTGACTTTTGTAGTTTATCTGTAGCTGCTGAATCTATTCAGTTTAAGTTCTAACAGAAGGGCTACATATATAATATATGGGTATAGGGATTCATGAGGGGAATATTTATGATTATAACTAAGGTTTTAGCCTAACAATTCCATGAAAGGAAATATAAAAAAAACATTATAACTAATGTGAAGAAAAATATATGATAATCATTATCCTTTCTCGTTTTTAAAATAGATGTAATCTTTTGAAGGAGAGAGCAAAAATTTATTCCCCTCGTCATTGCTTCTCCAACTCACCACTGTACGGAATCTTTAACGAACGAAAATGATAGGAACTATCCCTACTCAATTTTTAAAAGTTTTCCCTACTTTTTCCCCTCTAATTTTCAATTTAAAACTGTAAAATAGTGCATTGAAAATTACGTAATTCCCTACCTGCATTTCTTTAATAATTAATTTATGCATCCACCATCCTCTAATTGAACAACAGGTAAATATTAATTTGTAAACGATATGCGATCATGTTGATATTGATATTTTGACTAAGGAGAGGTTCTTTTTATGTGGGTCTTCCTGCATTTTGCAACTATATGCATGCTCGTCACGTAGTAATCTTAATTATATACTTTATTCAGTAGGCTATTATTAGGTCTACTAACAATGAACCCTACGTTGCGGTGCTTCGCTTTTCAATGTCTATAAATAATTTAAAATAGCGCAATGTAATTAATTTAACACTTTCTTATAATATTATTCTTTCTCTCCATCATATTCATTATCTTATTACATATTTTTCTCATTTATCCTTCTATTGTATATTTTATTGCACAAAAAATTGTAAATTTTATTTGGAATACAATTTTCATTATCATGATCTAACGCCTCTAACTAATTAAGAATTGCTATGCACATGGGTCTTTACGACTCTTGTATTAATTTATTTTAGCTAGGACACACACAAAGTGTACGTGTTGGCGAAATGAACTAATATTGTTTATATAACTAACATGTGCCGTCAATTTAAGTAAATTCATTTTAACTATGTATGTTCAATTTTAAGTTCGTTGAAATACTTTAAAATTTGAATTATTAAACGGTAAACTAATTTATGTTTCATGTTAAAAAATATAATCTATACATAAATTAAAGATAAATTCTTTAAAAAAATTAATGAGGGAATTTTTACAAATTAACTTATATATAATTTTATTTATAAAATTTTTTTTGATTTTTATCTTTTCTATAAATACTTCCGAATAAATTTATCTTAACATTAGTTGATACAACTTGTGTACACAAAACAAATAATCCAAAAAAAAGAGTTATAGTTATATTATTGTTAGCCAAAAATTTATCTGGACACATCATCTAGTATAGCCACAATATACTGAATACAGTGTACATAGTATGGACTAATGGAGATAATATTGGTGGTTGTTAAGTAAAAGCAACAGAGTTGGCTATTGACCAGTGTCGTGTTGTGTGGGTGTGATTCATCAGCAGCATCTTAACACCCCACAACAATAATTGCTTACTTTACCGCGCATGAGTGACTTGTATTTGCTTTCAACACCATCATTTTAAGCAGAGTTTGCATTGTACTATGTACCAACCCTTGCTCAAAACAAAGGACAAAACTAACTGCAGTCTTCCCCCCATCACTCAACATCATCAATTGCAACCATACAATAACAACTCGCCACAATCCACCCCAGTCCCATAAAGCACAACATTTTAAATTTCAAAAGAATAAAACAATCACGCTCTCACTTATTTTTCAATGGTAGCGCAACCAGCAAGTAACGGGGCCAATACAAAAATAGGAATTCCAGAGAGGATGAAAGAAACAAATTAAGAAAGCATAGCCTTTAGTATTCACTTTCTCTATTCCCATGGCCGAAGATCTGCCTTTCCCTTTACCATCACACTCTCTCATTTTGCTTGCGACTACCATCTCGAATCTTTCGTTTTCCTCTTCCTCTTTTTTATTTTCTTCCTTTCTTTTCCTCCTCCTCCATCTAACCCCTCTGTCATTATCTGTGTGAACGTTTGATCGTGATCGAGAATTAACACATCCCCACCTCTCTCCTTTTACAAAACAAAACCAAGTACCCTACTCGCTTTTATAAATCATATTCTCGTTCACTCAAAAACATTCTGTCACAGGCACACGCACGCATTCCCAGATACGTACTTACACAAACAAAAAAGTTACTGTATCTAATCTGGGATGTGCCTCAGGCCTCACCCTACCTAGCTAGCTTCAGTTCACACCGCCACAAAATTAAGCAACAATATAATAACAACATTGATATATAATCAAACTTTACGATTAGCACATTTTGTGTTGAAAGAACGCAGCCTTAATTCGATCGTTATGAAAGATGAAACATTGATTTTTTTGGCGATGGTGAAGACAAAAAAAAAAAAAAAAAATGAGTATGATATATAATCTGTATAGTTTATTATTACGATAATGAAAATGAGAAACTACATTAATTATATGAGGCCATTGGCAATGGCGCGATTCGTACTAAGATGAGTAGTCTCGTAGACGGGAAGCTCCTCACGATACCTATTATTTCCCATCACCGATAGGTGATCAAGCTCAAACAGATCCGAACTTGAATAACTGGCTGCATCATCGTCGTCATCATCATGACGAGGAAAATCCCTTAAAACCAAATCGCTCTTCTTCTGGGTTCGATGGTACTCTTTCAAGAACTCTCTAGCAGTCTCCTCCACGCGCCTGCTCTTATCCACAGCATTTTCTTCTTCTTCTTGGCTTTTGTTTCGTGAAATTTTCCATGCGGTTGGCACAGACACAGGCATTACACGCGTGTCCTCTTCGTACAAACACTTATGGCCGCACGGACGACAATCCTCGTCGACGATGACGCTGACGGGGTAAAAACGCACCGTTCGCTTAACCCCGTCGCGGAGCTTGTTCGACGAAGACTTGCTCAAACAAGAGCGCGAGAAGGAGGAGGCGGAGGAACACGTGGAGTCTTGTCCGGACTTTGCGGGCTCGGCGCGGTCGTAGGTTTTGGTTTTCTTGGCGGTTCGTGTCGCGAACAGGGAGTTGAGGAAACTACTGAGCCTCCCTCCGGGTGATATGGGCTGCTTCACTTTCTTGAGATTGTTGTAAATCTTCAAGGCCCTGGATTTTGACTTGATCAAACCCTCTTCATTGGCTGACGTCATCACGGGGTTGGGCCTGGACGGGGCGAAACACGAAACACGCGCCCTCCCACCGTACAATGATTCCGTGTCGGATGAGGATAATAATCCGGAACTGGAATCCGAGGAAGTCGAAGTTGAACTGAAGAAGAGAGCCTCGTGGTGGTGGTCGGGATGATTCCAAGGCGATTTTCTGAGTGTTTTTTGGGTGGGTTTCCATTTGTGGAGCGAACAAGCGCGGCGAATGGTTGGCGCTGATAAGTCTTGGTTGGTGAGCATGGTTTGGGCGTAGAAGTTGATGTCGGTGTCTTGGTAGATTTTGTCGAGAAGGGAGGAGGAAAAGGAGGGATTTTTAGCGTGGTTTTGGGAGGTGTGGAGGGCGTACATGATGGGCGTGGTGGGGTAGGGTTTTAGGTTAGGGAAGGTTGAAAAGGTGGCATGGAAGGGTGTGTTAGAATGATTGAAGAAGGGGAGGAGAAAACGTGAACAGGGTAATTGATTCCTTGTCTAGAGAAAGAGAAAAGGGTGTGACACGCTTTCCAGTTACCAAGGGAACACTGTGAGGGACGGACTTTATAAACCTCCCATCACGCGCCTCTTCCCTTCCTTCCCACTGTCACAACTCACAACTCACAACTCACAACTCACAACCATTTCCAATTTCTAACCGTTCATCAATTTTCGCCTAAGCTCAAGTCTTCAATACTATCCCTGCGCCCCTCAAACCTCCCACGTGTCAAAATGGGATAATCAATATTTTCGATTAATTGCTGGACTAATTTGGAGAGGGGATTTTCCATTTTTTATGATTGCGTCACGCTTTTCCTTTCTCCTTTTATTATTTTCGATTTCAATGCACACCAATAAATAGTTCGCTTATTAAATTCTTTCCATGGGTTGGAGTTGGATGTCCCCAATATTATCTCATTCAACCTGTTAGGGTGACTTTAATTTTATACTTGGTTTGGTGTACTATACAAGGTTTTTATTTAAATACACGCCAAAAAAGGATAAAAATATATGTGTTTAAAAGGGAAATGGGTGGGATGAATAGTACGTTTCGGATTTCGATTGAGCTGGCAAGCCCATTATTCATTTTTGTTAGGTAACATCGTGTGTTGCGCTCATGAAGAATTCAGTTAATAAGAATTTGAGACGTACAACAAAAACCATAAATTAACCTTCTAAATTCATATTTCAACATTTTTTTCTTTTCACCTTACATGTGTCGAAAGAGAATAAATTACGACGAATTTAATTTTTTTTTAAATACTTACGTTGTTATTACATGAGTTTTTAAATTGATGATCAAATTAGTCATATTAAAATTTTAATATTTTAATTTCCAAAAAAATTGTCTCTAAATTAATTTTTAAATTTTGTGTTGCTACTTTAGTTTTTCAATTTTTATTATTTAGTGATTAATTTGGTAACAGATTAAGTTTTTAAGAGACTAAAACAGTAATGAAATCTTTAAAAAAACTAATTTGGTGAAACTTTAAATTTTTAAAGAACTAATATGATAACTATAATATTTGAAAAGTAAATTAAGATTTCTTTTTATCCGTATTAATTACAATAATAACAAGTTTAAATATAAAACTACGCGCATATTTCAACTCCACGGCCACAATAAATTAAAGATGGTAGTAGTACAGTATATATACACAGGCACGCTCTCTATTAAATGTTTCATATTTTATATAATGTTTTTTAATTTTTAACGTCTTAAAATGATGTACTACTCATCAAGGCACAATAAATAACCCTATTGTTACAGAATCAAATAATTGTCCTGTCTTCCTCTAGGTGAGATTCAACATTGTCATTGATTTATGCCTTTTGTTGCATATATATATTGATCTTTTGGACTATAGTCTAGAAGGGATGGATATGCACCAAGGTTGGTTTGTTGTGGTTGGTATATAAATTAAAAGCAGATTAATTGTAATGATTGGTAGAGAATTCGAGACCGAAGAAAACTGATCAAGTTAAATATTAATGAGGGTCTTAATTTACAATATTGATTGAGAAAATAAAAAGAAATAATATTCAACAAAATAATTTTATTTATTATATTAAACATATAAAAATATTTATTACGATATATTAAAAGTATTTGTTAATCAGTATCACTAACACACAATTAGCATAATCTTTAATTTAAAAGCTCTCAAGCATAGGAGCTAATAGCTCAATGGATAAATTAAGCAAACATGCAACATGAATTTTGTTGAGTTGAGGGACAAATTAGCCAATGGGTCAATTTTGGGAATAATATCGGACGCTTAATTGGTTGGGACTTGGTATTAATGGAAATTGATGTTTTTAAGAAAAATTGTTTTGGTGTTACCATCCAAGGCTATCCAACAGAAATGGATTTACCAATTAAAGGAGATGAGTATCTAGAGAATCCACGTCTCGGTTAATTTCTTTGTTTGGGGATTATGATTTATGGGACCCGTTTGACATGTTGTTCAATAATTATAATATTTCTTTCCTATTACTGATGCTGTATTTTTTTTTTTCAAAAGAAAAACATATTTAGGTTGTTTGAATTTGGAAATGATCATAAAAGCTGGTGTTCCTAAAAAAGGTAGTAAAAAGAAAAGAAAAAGAGGTGGATGAGACAAAGATAGGATTTAAGGATGGAGAGTGAGGGGTGTTTTAAGAGGAAGAAGAGATTTAGATGGAGGGAGCCTGTAAAAATGGTGTTTTAAAATTAATGATTAAAGTGAAGAATATTAATGAAGGAGGAGGCTCTCTTGGAACGGGTGACATGCCAAATTGGATTCCAAGAGCCTACTAACTTTACCAAAAACAAATTACAGCTGTTTATAAATAAATTAATTCTTCCTCAGTATATGTAAATTAGAATAAACGGAATTTATTTTATAGTTATTCTCTCAAAAAGTACAGTATTTTTTATTCTTTAATCAAAATAAACTAGTTATATCCAAACTAATTAAAATACAATCTTTTAAATTATTCTTAAACAAAGTGTAATAAAATAGACAAAAATGACTGTGATCTTGAATCACGTGGTTAAGACTTTGACCCTTAAATTTGTTATAAAACATTTATCAAAAAATATCAAAGATTATCTTATCTCTATTGATTAATGTCTTGCCCTCAATTAAAGATATTATAGGTGACTAATATTTTCTTTTACAATTTTTTTTTTTATAAAAATTAATAAAGTTCAAAGTTAAGACTTAAGACTCAACACATACTATTCCAACATTTTATTACTAGGTTGACTGAAGTAGTTTTTTCTTTTAAAATTTATTTAAATTAATATTTATTTTATTTTGATCAATTGAATTTATATTGTTGCATTTTTGTAAAATTAAATTAATTTTTTTCTGAATTATATGATAAAGATTATAACAAAAAATAAAGAGATCAATATAATTCAAACCAAATTAAAATAAACCAGTAAGTTTTTTGTGCATCGTTTGGAAAATATTAAATTAAGAAGAAAAATAATATAAATAAATTAAAGAAAATAGAAATATTCTTGATATTATAAATGGACTGGAATAACCAAGTTTAACTGATCTAATTGATAATTGATAGTCGACATATTAACTCTAAAAATAATGGAGCATCTCATCATAGATAAGGGTCAAATAAATAATCGTTCAAAATTTGATTTAAAATTGATTAAAAAGATAAGTTATTTGGTATTCGAATTCTAGTCTTAGGTTTGAAATAGATTATGTTGAGAGAAAAATAATTATCTTATGTACGTTCATGATCTATGACAAAAATTAATCGATGCTTTCAACAGTGGATACTTCATACTAATATCATGGTTGCCAAATAAAAACTGGTATAAAAATCTAATGCAAAAAACTAGTTTGAACCAATAATACTTTTCAATTTTTTTAAAATTAAATATAAAACATTTCAACATAAGTAAAAACAAATATTTAAAGATTTATATAAGTATAAAGTATTTTGTCAATTATTTTTATTATTGTATAATTTTTAGAAATTGATTTCTCATAATTTAGCATTAATTTATCACTTAAAAACATTATATAATATTAAAAAGGATAAATTAAAATTTTAGTCTCTTATTTCAATTTTTAGCCTTTCAATTTGTTCCTCTATGTATAAAAAAATTATTTTAATTATCGAAGGCTAAAAAATTTCACTTAGTCTCTTAAAATGTCTTTTTTAGACCAATTTGATCACTTATAGTCTCTTTGTTAAAATAAATTGGTCATTAAAATCTCTTTATGAAAGAACAAATTAATCTAACAAATACACTTAAAAAGACTAAAATGAAACTTTTTAAATATAAATATTGTACAATTAAACAAATAATAATAATAATAACAACAACAACTTGAATAACCTAAATATAATTGAAATCCAGATAGATAAGTATGAAAATTGAATTTTACTTGACTAAACATTATTATAGTTCAGTATAGTTGAGTATTCTTAGAATGCTTCGACATAACATAATAAAACTAAAAAAAAAAATTATCATTGTCAGTTATGTAAAATAAACAGTCATTAACAAATAGGTAATTGTCTTTTTATTTTAATGATGAATTAACTTAAGAAAAAGATTAATTTGATCGTCAGAGAGTTTTTGAAGGTAAACACCCTTTAGAGATTATTAGAAAAATCATAACATTTTCACAAACGGAGAGAAAGAGAGAGAGTAAAAAAGAATATCAAGAAGAAAGTTAGGATTTCTTATCATTAGTCTTTAGTAAGGACATTTTGGAACTAAACTCGTGATAAGTGTCTAATTAAGCTTGATTTAACAACCATTT